AAGAAGAGAGATCGTAACGATATATATGTATTTTCGTTTGACAGCTCAATTTTCCTATTAATAATGCTAAGATATACTTTTATGCCATGATAACAGTAGCAATTGTTATAATTGATGTGAATTATTTTAAATTCCTCCAGATGAGCCTATCTATGTATAAATGTTACAATCGATTTAGATTATTTTTATTTCGATCGATTCAATCATCTTTTATGAAAAATTTGATTCAATATTATTTTGTTTCGAATTTCTATATTATAAAATATAAATTATTTAACGAGCGGAAGTTAAACTGATATTTTTTTAATATTTATTAAGATTTACTATCATCAAATCAATTTCGTTATTATTGATATCTCAATATTCCTCAATTATATATATATCATTTTATATTTATTGAAAAAATTCCTAAATAAAATAAAAAATTTAGCATCTTGAATGTTTTAGTAAATTATTAATCAGAACCAATTCAATTAATTATTACATGATGCTTTATACATATACTACGTATAAAAACAATTTTTGAATAATTTTCCGATATCAATATAACAGAATGACAATTCAACAGAAGTGCTTATTTATCACTCCGCATTTGTAGGAAGAATCCAAAGCGCGCATAAATCACGAAATAAAACGTAGCGATGGAAAATCAATTTGCTCATGGTGAAATATTCCTTCCGGTGCAAGCAACATTATCATTTATCACACCTGTGGGATTTATCACAACCGACTGTCGCGAATGCACGTGCCCACTACATGTGCGACGATATCGAGGAAAGAAGAAGCACACAATTTACATTTTGATTGCAGAAATCGAACGGAATAATTTATTCGTGTCTTTGACACGACCGCTTTTAAAATCCTCTCGTCTAAGTTATTCTCGGATAGGTTATAAATAAAATAATCGACAAACTACAGTCTACAAACCGGAACGAACTAGTTCAATCGACCATAGTACCAAGGCAGATTAGACATGCCGATATCGTAACTTCTAATTGCTTCATTAATCTGAGAAATGCTAATTACGTTGCATATATTTGTACTGCACATTCGTAAATAAAAGTCTATTTTGTTTTTATATATTGCTGTTCTGAGTAAATTATTCAAGATTGAATGCATAGAGATTAGCAATATCGTGATAACTAAATTTAAAAACGAAACCTAATTGCAATTTAATAAAGAAAAAATAAATAAATATTAAACTATGTGCTCTGCGAATTAATTTTATATATTTATATTCAATAATTGTTAATAATAAGTTTTATACTGTATACTGTATAAAATTAAAATTTTTTAAGAAATATTAATTGCTCCATGCGTTTGCAATATAAAAACATATTTACGTAAAATATATAAAAAAGATTTTTCGAAAATGGCATTTATATTCCAAATTAATAGCGAAGTATAATAACAAAATCTAATTATAGTCTCCCTTACACTTTTCGATTTAGAAACTTGCCTAACAGTATTTTTTGGCATTTTCTTTTATTTTGCTTTAATATTAATTCAGGAATAATAAAACATTCATAAAAAAGCGTACCAGTAATTAACTATTACTCCGTCCATTGATAATATAAGATGAATCCATAAAATGAGAAATTCTAAATCTCATTTCCTGGTATTCAATAGCGATATCGGCGATGTTCAAATGATGGCTGAATTAAACTCACCTGTAACAAAAAAACAAATTGCGAATTAGAGAAAAATCATGCGCATAATAAAAGCTATTATCTTTTTATGTCATCTAATTACAGTCTATAAGATTTTTCATTTAATTAATTATTAGCTCATTAAAATATATATATATATGTATATATATTTTGTAATGTTACATACGCGCATACGCATACATTTGATGTATTATAAATGATACTCTGTTCAAGCAGGAAACAATACAAAATAATAAAACACGCTGCATACGACCACGGAAGAACATAACAAACGTCATTCTGATCTTTTCGACCCGATTACTCGGAACACTACACCTAATTAAAATTTAATTTACCCTGATCTGCTTGAAATTACTTTCTTTCGGTTCTCGCAGGTAATATCATACATTATTTGTGCAAAAAATGACTCACGCACACATATCAATGTACAAACTCATTAAATCTGTTAAAATTTTTTTCGCTTCCGCCGATACAACTGACGCTTTTGAAGCAAGTAATTAATTACAAATTCGGTAATTTCAGCAAAGATGGCCGAATGGGCGTGGCCAATGATGAATGAGATCATTATTTCGAAAAAATTCATTCATGCAAATTTACGCAATATCTCGCTCTATTTCATACGCAACGCAATGATGATTTTTTGCAGGAAAATATTTAAAAAATTTGTAAATTTAAATTGTAATATTTAAAAAATTTTAAATTAAAAAGTGTTAATTTAAAAAAGGCTACATAATATAATAATCTTTTAGTACAAATTTTTAATTATCTTGAAATTGTTTATTATCAATAAACAATCTGTAAACAATCACTGTAAACTATTCCTATATAAATTCTTTAATAAATATTAATTAGGATTTAGTTTGTTATCTTATATCAAAGATAATGCCTATAGAAAATTACTTAAAAATTTGAATTAATTAGAATAATTATCTAATGTTGTAATGTGCGTTTCAAGCCGTAGTAGTTTCAACTTTAGCGTTCGTTTGGTGATACAGTGCATATAATATTGCGTTATCTGTAGATGTTCGGCATGACCATAAGCTTTGTGCATTTGGATGTATCGGAATGATGTAAATGCGTGTGATTGTCCATGTTTAATATATACGTGACGATACGCATACTTATACTTTTAACTTCTACGCAATACATTAAATGAGAATCGTTGAATAAATAGAATATTATAAAAGATAAATTCGATTATATATTATTAGTCTCGATTTCATATTTGCAGAAGAATCGAACCGATATTTATTTTCTTCGAAAAATTGAAAACATCTTAAGCGAATAAAAATACTGCTATATGGTCCTACCAAGAGTTGAAAAATTAGTCTTTTTAGAAAAACGGTACAAAATAACAAGAAACGAGATTTCTTGAGGCAGAAATATGATATTCGCATTTCCATTTGTTACGGGAAAATTCATCGATATTTCATTTTCGCTCGTGAACTATTGTACAACTTCGCCGATCATGGCTCTCACAACATATTTTACGTATCGCCTATGGGAAAAGATATTCCATGAAATCGCGGATTATCGCGTTGCCGCGATATCGCGTTGCGATATTAGAGAATTCGGATTTTAACGATGATTTACAGCCGGCTTAAGTGTCGATGCGAAATGTATTTCGATGAAAACGCATTTTCCTAGATTCTCCGAGAATGACCGAGAATCTCGCGAACGGAAACTCCGTCGCGGAAATCTCGAAGTCGCGTTCCCGCAGACTCCTCGCGCGAAGACACGATCTCGCGAAGAGAGAGAGAGACTCTGTTTGACACGCGTAAATATTTATATGCGGAAAGGTGCGTATTCATCGGGGTATCTAGCATAGTGTATAACGGAACGCCGCATGGTGCGTCGCGCACGCAACGGCACGCTGCACGTGCATACCAAACGCAAACGCGCACCTACGTATGCAACTAAATTATTTTACAGCTCGTAAAGCCCGAGCAAAGAGAATACATTGGCGCTAACGAGAAGGCTGCATCAAGATAATAAGGATTACGATCTCCTCCGATCGAGATTGTAATGCGCTCCTCGAGCGCATGTACGAAGGCGCGGCGCGACTCGACTTGGCGCTGAGAGATTCACGGCGAGAAGGCGGCCATTGGAAAAGATTAGTCTATTTCGCTCGTTACCTTTTTATCTCTTTCCCCCGCGGCGTTAGCGGCTCGCCGCCGGTTGTAAGTAAGCGATTGTTCCGCGCGATGGGAAACTGCGAGTTTTTCCTTCGAGTAAGGAAAAAATAATGGCCCGGCAATTCCTTTTCTCTTTCGCCACTGCTTTCATCCATGGATTCTTTCAGCAATTAAGAGAGCTTAATTATAGCGCATACATTCTTAGCTTATATATCATGTATATAAGCTAATATCATGCAGATATCATGTATATATAAGAGTAAAATCTCTCTCTCTCTCTCTCATCATGGGTTTATTTATTGCAATCATATATACATATAAATTAAAAATTTATATTTTTACCCACCTATCATCTTTATTCATCTTACTTGAGATAATGAGAAAATAAGAAGAAAATTATAGGTATAAAATATGGAAAATGATTCGATATAACTTTTTCTTTCTCGATTAAGAACGAATGTCCCGGTGGTGAATCCGATAAAACTCATCTGTAAATTCCGTCGCGATTTTAATCGGATAAATTAATACGCGCCGCGTATTCCTCTCGTCACGACCGCGCGTCGTCTCATTATGCGCCACAATGTGCCAAACGAGGCGCGCTCGTATCAATCTGATACATCCTAATGCACTTACGTGAAATCTATGATTAAGTCGAATCGGGTATCAACGTGGCACAGGGGAAACAAAGGACACAATGGCATGCTGTCGGTGGGTGCCGGTACACGTACTCGCACGTCCCGGCATCGTCATCGATCATCCGACGTCACGGTAGGGTGCGTTTCGCCGTAACTATATCAACGGGGGATCGTATGTGTAGTTCTTTCTTATTTTTGCCAGCTAACCGTGCCGCTATTCCGCTATCCCCGTCCCGATCCCCCGGCCTCCTTCATTCCTCCCTCACGCGACTCCCACTGCCATCGTCGAACTTCCGCTTACATTGACTTCCGGTTGGAGGGTTTACTGCACCGCGCATCGCGGCCGTCACTTCCGGCTGGTCGGGACAGAACGAGGTTGTCATGGAGACCCGCGGTTGGGTCTCCACCCTTGGACACACCCCTAACAGCATGGCCGACAACTTACCCTTCTCTTCGCCCGCACGCTCTCAACAAGGGCGTCGATCATCTCGCTCGAGGATTTCGCAAAGGGCCACCCAAGATGGGTGGGTGGGAGAGCTCGTGATATGGAGGGAAACCCCATGGGTCTCCGCTATATCGTGAAAGGATCCTCGACCCTCCGAGTGCCACTCATCCTACCACACATAGTGCATACGATACTCGCGATGCGTGTCGGTGTACGAACCCGCACATACGCGTCACAATTCTCGATTTTCGTGATCCTCTTTGTGATCGACGCGGGTTGCATGTGCGGCGCGCACACGAGAGATATTGGATTAAACCCTGTGATATATTCGAGGATGTACACGAAGCAAATGCGATTTCAGAAAGCGTGACTCTCAACGTGACTAAAATTCCGTTGATCTCCACAGTAAATTTTATCATCGACAAGCGGTGTTGAAAACCTTAGTTGATTGAATTCTGGTTATAAATTAACATTGTTTTTATTTATTTTCTATTTTAGTTTCTTCATTTCTGTTATTATTATCACACGTATAAGAAATATCTTTGCATCTTTGTTTTATTTATTACTGTGAAATAGATAGAATAATAAAATAAATAAAACTAAATTAAAATATGTATTTTATATTTTAATACATTTTAATTGTTTTTGTCTGGTAGTATTTTTTATGTCTATTTGTGTTATATATAAAAAAAATAATTCCTAAACAATAATAAAGAAAATTTTATTTTTTTAATTATCAGTAAACAAAATTTACGCTTTTATATTCATTTCAAAGTAAATAAGTTGGCATTAATTCGAGCATAAAAAAAAATTCTAAGTTGCTATAAAAAGAGGTTTTGCACATATCTTGCAATTTGTGATGAGAAATTTGCGGCAGTGGAGCTACTCGATCGACTCAATCGGTGTAAAAAAAAAAAAAAAAAAAATAGAAACAAGAGAAAAAGAGAGACATGGGAGCCCGCATCGATCTGTTCAAATCCCCATAGAAATTAACTCGAGAACACTCGACTGACCCTTTCACCGGGGCACCATTCCAGACACGAGCACTCGTTAAAGCATTAATTAGCGATAATCGAAGCCGTGTAGTTCTACTGACGCGGAACGCAGAAATTTGCCCGGCAAGCAAGCTGCGCGAGTTTCTCCCTAGGAAATGACGGGAAAAACGAACGGCAAGAATTCGGTCGTTTTGTCGACGAAACCATTGTTATAAGCCGCGTGTGCGGAGAGTAATGCACACTTAATTATCTCCGCAGACACGATTGAAAACTTCATCGTCACCTTTGCTTACTTTCGCTCGCGTCGACAAACATATTCCGGAGGACCCTCAACAATTTTAAGAGTGATAAATGCATTGGAGATTTACACTCGTCAAAAGATTTATTCGAGCGTACGAAAATTGGTAGCTTTATTTCCAATTTCAAACATTTGCTCTTCATTTCATATGAATAACGTCATTTATATATGCACTTATCCATATACAATAGTCAGTCACAATGCAATATATTATTATATATAATTAAATTACTAATTATTCAAAATTTAAATCTGTTTTGATAGTTGTGAGTACATGATTTATGTTTATTAATATTACTGACAAAACTATATTTAAAGACTTGGTAGTCAATTCTGCAATGTTAGTAAAATTTTTAAATCGTAAACAGCTTGACAAATATCTGTAATATCTTATAAATGATTAGATGAAGATTTAAATATCTTTTTATGAATGTAATTACCACCATCTTCAATGACTATTTATGACTCATAGAAGTAATTGCTCATAAAGGAAATATTTACGTCGTCATTTATTACGTTTGTTTGTCGTACATATAATATTAAATCCAAATAATAGGCGAATAAAAAATTAAATTACAAAAAATTAAATTACATAATAAATTAACATAAAGATGAATTATTGTATATAATATTATGTAATATTATGTAATATTTTGGATAATTATATTTTAGAATAGTTATATTTTCTTTAAAATTTTATAGATATTATGATTTTAGAGCAACATTTTAAGAAACTAAACATTATAAAGCAATATTTCAAGGTTGTCTCTTTTCGAAAAACTTGATGAATATTAAAGGGACATTTAATTTTACACTTGCAAGAAGATATCATCGTAACATCGAAGAAGTTGTCTAAGAAGTTTGTCCTCGACTGTACAAGCATTCTCGCATGGGAGAATGGCGGCGACGTCAATTATAAGCAGACGGAAGTGGAGGAGAGGGTCGGCGTCTTCAGCCCCGAAATCCCCAGCCGAATCGCAGCCCCGGCGCGACGCCCTTCAAATTCATCAGAGCGCGACGCGTCGTTCGCCCTCGAAGCCTTCGAGTGTCCGGATGTCGTCACCGCAGCCGTCACCAACGTCGCCGCCGCCCGCATCGAGCCAGCCATCCGTGTCGCACAACGGAAGGAAGGCAAAAATCCGGCGACAAAAGATCCAGTCGCGACCCAGGCTCGAGAGATCTCCTCCGATCTATCTCGAGCCGCGACGGGAAGGAAGAAAAAGAAGGGCAAAAGAGAGAGACATGGGTTGAACAAAATTCGGGCGTCGCGCCGCTCTCAAGTGGAGAACGCCGGCTCGGGCCAGAGAAAAAATCCATACCGATGTCGCCGGCGCCGGAGGCGGGGCCAGGTACATGTGCCGTGCAGAGGGTGCCGACGACTCCCTTTACAGCGACGCACAGGGGCGCAAATGATAATTCGTCGGCATGGCAACGCCCGTCCTATCGTCCGTTCCAATGTTTCATGCATGGATATTCTCGTTCCTTTCTCTCACCCTCTGCCTATCCCTCGGTCCTCTCCAACCCCCTCTTTTCAAACGATTCTCGTCAGATCCCGCCATCCTCCCTCTCTGCCCGACGCTTCCGAGCCGAACGAATGGCGCTCGTGAAACCCTGTTTTCTTCCTTTTGAAGATCTCCGACCGGGTGCACTTGCCACCCTCGTGGCCGACAGGGAAACTCGACGATGCGAGGGTAGCTAGGTGACGGTAGGATGGAAATGCATTAGGAAAGCCTGGTCTGATCTGTTGCCACGGCAACAGCCTGGGAGGCTTGCTGAGGAGGACCGGGTCGATCCTGCGGTAATGGTAGACAGAAGCAGCTGAATAACCTTGAAATATGCCTCCCTTTCATGTAACTTCGCTCGTGAAACGATAGTGGTACATGGAGAGTAACACGATCCGGAGGATGCGATATTGACTTGAGAACGCATTTGGATGAACTCGTTACAGAAAACAATTATTAAGTATTACATTTCCATTGAAAATATATTACTCGAAACATATTGTTCTTGTTTTGTTAGAAAAAAAAAAAAAATTTGTCTTGTATAAACATTTTTATTATTTCGGATTAAAATCGAACGATGAAGATTATGCATCATCAATTTTTTAAAAATTGTAAACCTCTTCATAGTAACCATTTCCATGATTCTACAAAGGCAGTTTTGGATCGTTTATGCAAATAAATATAAAGAACGAGTAATACTTTTACTCGCTTTTTATATTATTTTCTGTATGTAAAAGAAAAAATATAATGATATATTTTATCTTCAAATCTTCAATTAAATTTAAAGCTTTATATGACCTGTATAGAGAGATTTATATAAAAAAATAGAGAATAAATATCATCTCTTCTAAGTATTCATCTTTTCACATAAGAAAGAAAAGAAATTAATAAAAATCTATAAAAATATCCATAATTAAAACAAATAATTGTTATGATAAATTAATAATAATAAAAACTCAATCTAAATTCTTCTCAAAAAAACGAAAAAAGAGAACGTTCGTTGCATTAAATACGATCGAAAAATCAAGAAAAACATCTATTTCCGCACGTCTCACGCGATTCATGCATATAAGGAAGAGAAAGAAGAAAAAAGTAGTAAAGAGATGAAGTACGCACAATAAGATGAAAAAAAAAAACTGAAGGGGAAGGCAACCCAGACGAACGAACATTTTGCGATACACCATCGGAATCCTGTAACGAGTTGTCTCCGTAATAATAACCTGCCCGTTGAACGATGTAGATTGTAGACGATCACGAGACTGACGCTACATTTTGATAGCCAATTTGTCGCGATCGTCGGATCTCGATTAATATTCAAGTTCCGCTGCCTGCTGGCGTCTCTCACGCGGTGACAGCTAAACGTAGCCTGCACGCACGGCGTGTGTGCAGGGCATAATTATTTTTAATTAAAAGCGTCTCTTCTCTTTTTCCAGTGTCGATACGTTCACGCGATTATATCTGATTTCCTTTCGAACGTCGGACAGATTGTCGGGTAAATCGTAGCTTAAATCGCTAACTTAACAAGGCGAATATACGCATCATTCAACGATGATAACATTTCCCATTGAGTCTGTAATTCGCATTAATTAAAGCAGTGCTACTTGTGAATACGTTTATTTTTTTAAACAATCTAGATCCATTTTGCTCATTACTGAATATTATCAAGATATGATGTCAACAGTAAAGTAGCATAAGTAGTATTTTTATTTCTTTAACTTATATGTTCTTTTTACACACACACACACACACACACACACACACACACACACACACACACACACACACACACACACACACACACACACACACACACACACACACACAAACAAACACACATATATATATTTCATTTAATTTAATCTTTTATTTTATAAAAAAAGAAAAATCTTCTTAAGTACATAGCAAATTATTTACTTAATTAATACATAAAAATATATAAGTATAAAAGTATATAAGTTTATAATATTTAGTTTACACTTTACTTTTTTTATCATTTTATTTTAAAATGAAAAAAGTAATATCCCATTTAATTTTTTTATACATTTATTCTCTCTATTTATAATAATAATAAACGATATAATAAGCGATAAAAAAATTGTATGTCAATAAAAATTAACAAAAACATGTTCTTCATTGACTGATAGATTGATAGATCAATTAAGATATCAACAATATGCAATTATGACGACGTCTTGTATGCGATTATTGCGATTAGTTTCCGTAAAAAGTACGATAATATCGACTTGTGCGCTTATTATATAAATCACTAACCAATATATAAGTGGCTAGAGACATAATTGGCAATTAAAACAGTTAAAAATGAAATCTATATTTATCATTTATTCTTTAACAACATAACAAAAATATGTAAGAGTAATGTTTTTATTAATATTCTTGAAATTACATGTATTTTTGATATATTAAAATTAAATAATTTTCCATTTATCTAAAGTCCTATTAAAATAAGATTACAAATAAATTAAAAAAGATTATAATAGATATTAGATATTTTTTCAATATTAATTTCTTTAGATAAATGTATTTGACTGGCAGAATCTCCGTAATTTCAAGATAAATTCAAGTCAAAAGGTTCATTAATACTCACTAGCATATGAAATAGTAATTTCAAAGTCAATTTACATTATCTCAACGTTGACATATGTACATGCATAAAATAGATTACACATTTTTACTTAAAATTATTTATGCGAGGTAAGTTATAAATAAAGATCTTTTAACTTATTCTTATCCCGATTCTAATTAATCGATAATTTAAATGATATTTTTCCTGTTGATCAAAAATATAGATCATATAAATGCTAATTCGCTAAGATAGAGAATAATTATAACAATTATTTAAAAAATAAATTTTTTATCGTGATATCACGACAGCTAATGAGAGACTAAACTTTATTTTCCAACATTTATAAGGTGCAAATTAGAATATCAATATTCTATATATGAAAAGTAATATCGACTAATATCAAACTTTGCATTCAATAAAATAACCGATTTGCAAGATGATTAAGAATATTTTGCGAACAAACATGTTGATGAAACTAGAAGATGAATGATATTTTTAAATTAATTTAATACAAAATTCGGATGTTAATAAGGAAATCTTTAACAAAATGTTAACAAAATGTTAACTAAACCGTCTTATTAACTATTGGTCAACATATTGGTTCATGTTCATTATATTTAATTTTTTACAGTGAATTAATTTATTTGTAATTATTTCTTGAATTCTGAATATCATTAAATTTTCTTTTCGATGAAAACAAAATACTAAACATCAGAAGGAAAAAATGTACAGAACAATAATTATAATTTTCAGTTTAGTTATCTTGCATATTTTTCATCCGAAAAATGGCAGTTCATCATTTTACTGATTTGTAAAAAACCATTATTCAAAATTGTGTTTATTATTATGTTTAAAACTATTTTTCTTTAATTTGTATGCTGAATTACGGAGAAGATATATAATGTTTACTAATAAAATGCATTTATTATTTGTATAATAATTAATTAATATTATATACAAAAATCACAGAATTTTTATTTTTTTCTTTTAAAAATGTTAGATTAAAAATTTTAATAAAAAAGCTGTTTTTTAAGCAAAAATCTGATACACAAAAATGACACGATGTTAAAATATTTGTATGATGACCGATAATTTCATGACTATAATGAGAAATTAGCTGATAGCAATCTAAAAATGCAATGTAAAAATTGCAAAAAATTTTGTACTGTTTTATTATCTTCCGTTTCTAAGTAGATAATGTCATTAACTTTTGCCGCCATATAACTTGTTTGACAAGTTGTCGAAGCAGTAATTCAATAATTTCCACTTCGTTCTTCTATTCAATATGATTGACGTTTCTTGATCAAAGCTTTTTTTCAGACAAGAGAAAAATAACCTATATCAATACTATTCTGATATTCCCATGGATTACACCATGCAGATATATGTAAAGATAAATAACAAAAACAGTTTTATCGAGTAATAAATAAAGTCTTATTGAAAAGCACTTTATTTTTAATTAGTGCATGAAAGAAATAAAAGTACATATTTTAATAAAATAAATTTAAAATAGAGAAGTAAAGTTAAAAATAATATAACAGTAATAATAAATATAACAAGTAATAAAAAAAATATCTTATTCTGAAAAGTGCATACCTTTGACATTAACGAACAATATCCATGCTATATATACAACATATATGTTCCATCTTAAATACATTTATATAAACCATATCTTGAAATCACTTGCCTTTTTAAGTATTAATAATGCAGAAATTATAATTTAAAAGATAAATTTATGTTGAATTACATTCGAATAAACAGCGAATCGCTTTTTAGTAGAAGTTTCATCTAATTTCTAAATTGATTCTTCTCCCTGAAGGATATTTGCTTCTGAGTTATCTCATCTGAATCTTACCAAGTTTGGTGAGAAAATTTTCATTTCATTTCTAAAAAAATGAGATGACATCTTGCCCTTGAATCCATCTTCCGAATCGCATCGAGCTGGCCAACTATAACCGAATGAGCAATATCGCGCCACTCCCAGCGGATTACGTGAGCGAGGCAGCCACATGCATTTCGAGCCGTTGATGTATTACGTGTACCTGTATGTGTACACCTACATACGACCGGGCTCTGGACCAGTCAAGCCGGTCTGCTGTTCGGTTCCTGGTTCCTGGTTCCCGGTTCCTGTGCTCTTCGCCCCCTTCGTGCAAAACTTTCAA